GCGTACTGACCAGATATCTGCGGGCGTGGTGTCCTAAGAACTCCATAATTACCTCCTTGACCAGGTCGAAACCCTATTACATTTATATCCATCTGCATATCCCCTCGCACTGATATAAGAGGCTCTGGTAATTTATTCCATTTGTCATCACCTCCCATGACATTTCCATGACGGTCTAATCTAGATCCCCCAATTGACCTGTCAGTATTTCGTCCAGGACTAGGGTATGAGTCACGTAAAACACAGACACCGGAAACCAACAACGCATCATCTATGTCAGAGGTGACTTCAAGACCATCAGGAAGATCGGTGCATTGTGCTGCAAACTTGAGGAGGAAATCACGGGAATATTTTTTAGTCAATCCATTGGCATCTGCACCATTAATCTCATTTTCATAATTTGGAGTTTCCAACTTCGGAGAGGAGATGTCTACAACATCTTCCCAATCATCTGGCTCCACTTTACTCTGGGAAGGTTTCACATTATTCTGGGCCACATAGGTAGATGTCTGCTCTGTGCTCTTGCATGCAGTGTTTTCTGTGCTTTCTGCAGAGGTTACATTTGCTTTCTTTTCCTCAGGACCCTTGTATGCCATATAAAGATCAGAACTTGTACCGGCAGCTTCAGCTTTTCGATAGAAATCCTTTTTTTTCTTTTTCACTCCGGTCACACTTTTTGCCACAGGCTCTGACAAGGCTTTCTCCTGAAAACCTGATGGTGAAGGAAGCAAGCCGCTACTATTATTCTCAGTATCTTCATTTTCAAGTTTTATAACAGCTGTAGTAGGAGATGGAATTGAAATGGGGGACTTTTGGCATGATGTAGCAGAGTTTGTAACGGTGGTTTCTTTAGGATCTATGACATTCGGCACACTAAAAGAAGTGTCTAAAATACAGGTTCTATCATACTGAGCAGATACACCAATCACTGAAATGGAACATTCGGCATTTGCACCGTCCGGTACCAAAGTAGGTGTAACTAAATCATCTTCCACTCTAGCATCATCAAAGCAACAACCTGAAGATTCTTCCAGCTTTTTCTCTGCAGTTTCCACTGAACAACCTCCGCAACTGGTGGAAGTTATCTCCTGAGAAGAGCTCTCTTTGCTTATGGTAGGTTTTAAGGAAAGAGAAATTAAAGATGTATCGAGACTACGCTTATCAGGATTAGAATTAGAACTCTCAGAAATTTTTACTTCCCCTTGTTCCTTTATCCCTACTTTTTCAGGCCTTGATTGCCTGGTCTTTGTAGATTCTATGCCCAATACTTCAGATGAATCACTTGTATTCCCTTCTACATACTCCGAGGCAGCTGCAGTAGTTATCGACGTTGACTCTTTTGCAGCTTGCAATGGCAAACTAGCTCCCAATGAAGTGATTTTAGCTTCCATAGGTTCAGATTTTTGCAATTGAGAAGGCAAACTTGAAACAGAGGAAGACTGCTTTCCAACCTGCAAATAATAATGCAAAACTAAGCTTATAAATCATGTTAAACTTCCTG